AAAATTAAATATTTGAAAATTTTGAATTATACTTCTAATTTGAAAAAAAATATTTTGTTAATCTATAATTTTAATTTATTTGTATATAGTGACCTATGGTGGGAAAGGTGGAGATATGAGAGTTGGGAAGGGGGTGGGGTATTGTCTATAATATATAATAAATAGGCATATTTCCCAAGTGGTACTTGGCGGCTACCCCTATGAAAACTCATTATTCGAATCGCTCTATATTAATATGGTATTAATATTTATAATTAAATGTATATTAATTTTCAAAGTTAGTAATACAAATTTTGAAACTTAAACTATAATAATTGAATACATTATTATCTTTATACCTTACGTAATTATCAAAAATTTAAATTTATACTTGTCATATCATAAACAATATATGATTTTTTTTTTCAATTATATTAATCGTATAAACGAATTTAATTTAAATTAATTTCAATTGAGATGAGAATAATAACAAAGCTTATAATTTTTGCGACCCAAAAAAAACATACCATTGGTAGTCGAACTTATACTTTTATGATATTGCGATCCAGGGCAAAACAAAATATGATAGCAATTAAAGAGAAATATTTAGGCTATCTAGGCCCCATCTTTACCCATCCCGACTCATATAATAATTTGAAACGAGCTCTCCAGCCCTACCATTATAACTTATTTATAAGGAAAACGACTTTAATTTTTGCTTAATTTTTAAGACTTAAATCGGCCCAGCCATTAAAATTTTGTACTCAAGCCCGAAAACCGTTCTCTAATTTTAAATATCAAATTTCTATATAAATTTTTTCACCAACAGACAAAATATCAGGAGTTTTTTGTAAAAAAAAATAATTAAATCTTTAATAAAATTTATTTTAAATATGGGTATTATAAATATTTTTAAAAAATATTTAAGTTCCAATCGTTGATTTAGAATAAAAAAATTATATTAAATTAGTTTATTTTTAAAATAATTCCCAAATTCTACATTTTATTTTGGGCGTTTAACCCGGCCCTCGTAGACATCTTAATAAGATATAAATTAAATTTTTATATATGACTTGTGACGAGCTTGGGAAAACTATTTGAAACTTATTATGAGCTTGGGCCGGGTTTAAGTATTTTTTTATATAAAATATGAGCCACGTTTGGTCTAGGCAGTAGGCCCTGGCTAGGCTTGATCAAAAAAATTAGGCTCAGGAGGATATCTGAGGCAAAATATATCATCCTGTAACATGCAGATCCAGTTGCAATCCCATTAAGGATCAATGTAAACCAATCTCTGACCTAATAATAAAGGTATATAATTTTTAAATTATCTCTTATTATTGCCATATTATATATACATTATTTTTAATAGTTTTGCAATTGCAAATAAATATTTATAATAAAAAAAACTAAATAAAACATTTTTTTATTTCTAGTGTTTGTTAAACCGATTTTAGCATATATTTTTTAAATGAATAACTCGATATTTTATTCAGAAATATGTTACGCAACCCTCAAAATTTTGCTCATAGATCGTACAAAGTTTGGAAGGAAAGAAGGAAATAAAGAAAGAAAGAAAGAAAGAAAGAAAGAAAGAAAGAAAGAAAGAAAGAAAGAAAGAAAGAAAGAAAGAAAGAAAGAAAGAAAGAAAGAAAGAAAGAAAGAAAGAAAGAAAGAAAGAAAGAAAGAAAGAAAGAAAGAAAGAAAGAAAGAAAGAAAGAAAGAAAGAAAGAAAGAAAGAAAGAAAGAAAGAAAAAAGAAAGAAAGAAAGAAAAGCGAAATCTCTAGGCTTGGGCAATATTATTATGGCTAAAATATTGAGTCAGCCGTTTCAAGAAACGACTCAAATCGAGCAATTCAACAACACTAGATAAATAGTATATTCCATTCTTTTTAAAAATATTTAGACTATCGTTACCTTCGACATAATGCTAATGCGCGATAATTGATCCAATACATTTATTTATAAATGGGATTAAAATGCATTCCAAAAGTTTAGTTACCTACGTATACGCCACTTAAATTTACTTTTCTTCCTGATAATTAAATTTGACAAATTGATTTTTACTATTTAGCACACTGCGAAAATTAAGTTATTAATTTGATTTTTTTTTATTTCTGGACTTTTATCGGCCTAGAAAAAAAAATGAAGAAATTTAATAATAATCATCATCAACATTATAAGTGCGATTAAATTCAAGCAATTTAAATTTTATTTATATTATTGTATATAATAAAGTCATTTATTTGTTAAATTTAACAATACTAAAATTTTAATCTATTTAATTGAGAAATTGAAAAAAATCATTTTATAAGGTAAATTCTTAATAATAGCTGTAAAACATAAATTTAAAATAAATTACTCACTTTTTTTTCCTAACTCTGCTTTTATAGTCAATAATCTTTTTTTTCATCTCTTATTTAAGTTTGAAAATATATATTTGTTAATGAATTCTATATTTTAATCAAAAATTATAGTTATTTGACGAAACTATTCCACATTTTTATAGCGCTATTTTTTGGGCACCTTTTAGATGATAGGATATAAATTTTGACACATCAAACATCGTTCTCTCATATGCATCTTAAATGATCATTATTTGATCAATCCTTCAAATCGTGAATCATTGTCATTTCCTAAAAATAAGATATAATATAATTTGTTTTTGCCTCTGAAACACTCTTTAAAAACAGTAAGTGGGATAAGGTTTTTTAGTCGGCGGCATAGTTGGGATATAAAATAGTTTTATATCCATGCCATATAAAAGTATCAAAAACCTTTTGGCAAACTTTAAAAAAAACTGATGCCGGCAGATCTCTCCTAAACTCTACTCTATAAACATAATATATGGTATATCAATTATCACCTAGTCCCGTGTGTTATATTAGATTTTTCATAAAAATAATTTTAGGTTTTTCACTTTTTTTAAAATAAACAATTTGAATTTTATAGTCGTTATTTTAAAAAGTTATTACCCTTTTTGCCTAATTTTTATTTCAAATTCTTCCTTATTTTTGGAGAGAGTGGAGGAGGGGGGGGGGGGATTTAGGGATGTACATGGGGGAAGTTTTTGTTAGCTTTATATGATATTTAACAGACAAATTTGTGATGGGGGGTGGGGCAAGGTATACCCCACCCTTCGTTGCGCCTACTTCAAAATTCCAAATATTTAATTTTCTATTAAATTGATATAAAACAAGAGAAGCGACAAGTTCCTATTATATGGCATATTAATAATCTATCATTTAAATAATAAATTATTATTGTACCCTATAATACTATAAAAATCTCAAAATTTCATTTTTAAAAAAAAAATCTGATATAATTTGAAAATAAGAAATTACCATAAGAGGTATAAAAAAACCAAAAAATTTTGAAATTTATGGAAATTTAAATTTTTAATATTTTTTGGCACCTAGAACGCTTGAACTCTCCCCTTTTGAAAATGGTTCTGGTTTGGGTTCAGCAAAAATACGCTAAAAATTTCTATGAGCGCCTAACTATTGATTTTATTTCAAAAAAGATATTGGCTCCCCTATGTAAGAAGTTGGGGCCCGACCAGCAGGAAATTCCTATCTACGGCCCTGCTGAAACAAAAAAATACAAATATAAAATATAATTATGCCTGTTTGTAAGTTTGTAGTAAATATCTGCAAAGCCCAGCTCGGAGCTCAGCCCGTTGGGCTGGGTAATTCTTGCATAAAAAATTTAGGGTTGGTTCCTTTATACATAAAATATTAGGTATGGCCAACTAGGCAAATCCCTGATTCGCTAGTGAATTAAAATGTTGGTATATTATACTAGCTAAAAATAAATTACATTATGTTTATTTCCTATGTATCTTAGGGAGCGTGTTTGACCGAACTAAATCTATAAACAGTGTAGGAAATTCACAAAAAAAAAATGAATATTTTATTTATAATATGGTATGATACAATTACAAATGCACAAAACAGACACAAATACAATTGATAAATAAAAGGATTGTTGCAAAAATGGATAGCCATAAAGGAGAGATATAAGTAGAACCTTAACTATCATTGGGAAAAAATAAACTTAGATATAGATATCAAAAATGTGGTCGTCGTAAAATGTATGAAAAAATTTAAGAGGCCGGGTGTGGGGCGGTGTGTACTATAAGCTTTAATAGGGCTAGTCGGGTCTGATCTTTTATAAATTTATATGGGCTCGGGCCGAGCAATTTTTTTTAAAACATAATAACGGGTCGGACCGCACAATTTTTGCTAAAATACTCAACGGGCCTAAGCGGGCGGCGCCACACTTTGTAGCCGCTAATTTGTAGCCCCATTTGTTTTAAAGTGGGATTATAGAAATGGTTGTGATAATAAATATGTAGTATAATATTATAAGATTATATTCAAGATAAGCTTATGGAATATATTTTCCAATCCTATGAAAATGGTATATCATTTTAAAATATTGAGACTATCGTTAGTTACCCTAACCGTAATGCGCATGCGAGCGATTCGATAACATTGAATCCCCTAAAATTCAGCGATACCTACGCACACACGCGTTAGATTAGATTTTTTTTTTCGTGTTAATATAATTTAAAAAATTAATTTTAATGTGCTCTGCAAAAAATTAAATATTAATAATTTTTTTTGTAAGATATTTTTTCTTCTAAATTTCACCGGACCGGCCTTGAAAAAAAAAGAAGAATAGAATCAATTTCGTAAATAAATCAAACAATTAAAATCCGAAAATTACATTTTAATCAACTTAAATGGGATTTTTTTAAAAAAAAAAAATTAAATCATAATATACCAAAAGTTAATTCTTAATATTTTGCTATAAAACATAATCGACTATTTTTATCTTCCCCCCCGTTTTTTTTAAGTTAAAATTTATATTCATTATTGAATTCTTTTAATATTGTAAGATTTATTTATCAAATTTAAAAATATTTTTTTTATAGTTATTTAGAAAGAAACTAATTTATTTTCTGCCGCTCTGAGCCAAGGCCATATCTTTCAAGTTGGTGATAAAGTTGGGGAAATCCTTTTTTTATTTTGCCAGTGCCATATAAAAGTATTTTTTATTAAAAATATGGCCGTAGATTATTCCTACATATACTACTCTATAAACATCACGTATGGTATATTAATGTCAACACAAATAGGTTTAGGTTTAATAGGAAATTTTGTGTACTTTTGGTGTTTATTTAAAAATCGAAAAATTAGCAATGGGGAATCATCGGTTCTACCAAGCATCCCTAGTAAATTAATCGTTTCAAATATTACAAATAAAAATAATATATTAGCTTCTTCGAGACAGGTGATATCCAGTAGATCTTCTACAATGAAACCTAAACGAAATATACATTTATATATAAAAACTCTAGCTATCAACGATTTCTTGTCCTGTGTCAACTCTATCACATTACCCGTCATTTATTTGGTATGTTATAATACTTGTCGCAGATCATACCACTTTATGTCATATTCATTAAAAATTGGGTTTCCTTTCATGGACGCCTTTACTAATTTTAGCTATATATTGAGGGTTTTTATATCCTTGGACCGCCTATGGGCACTTGAATTTCCTTTTTCTTATAGAACGGTAATGTCCAACTCTTTCATAAAATATTTAATGGTCCTAGGTTTTGTCGTAAGTTTCTCAGCCACTATTCCTTACGGATGGGGATATATTGCAGTCAAGGTTGAAGAAAATGAAACAACTCCGATACTATGTAATCAGGTGTTCATCAAAAGCATACATCCTGAAAGTATAGATTTTAATTTAACTGATGCAAAATATAGGAGTGTGAAGAATAATTCGATACATTGCCTAAATAAGAAATTCATGATTATTAAATATACCCATTCAGTTAATCCCAATACCCCTTGGTTTCAAACTTATAGAAGGTGGATTACTTTTATCATGTCCTTCATCCCATTTACGATATCATCAATGGCTAACATTTTTATAATTAAGAAATGTTATAAAATTTCCCGTAATAGGATAAATTTGAAAGGAGGCAATAAGGTTGCTATGAATGAAAGACTAAACTCTTTAAACAAATGGTTTAATAAAATAACGAACCGTCATCGTAGAATTCACAATCATAACATGGATAGCATGGCAAACTTACAGACCCAAAAAGCTTCACCAGTTATGAAAAGGAGAGAATTTCAGATAACAATTTTGATGGCAGCCTTAAATATGCATTATATATTTAGCACTATCCCTATGACGCTTTATATGTTTATCTACAAACCATGGTCGGATACCTTCTCAAATAAGTCTGAATTATGGTTTCAAAACTTGGCCTATTTAAGCAAATATGGGAATAACGCGTTGAGTGTTTATATAACTCTATTTTTAGATCCCACTATAAAAACTCTATTTTATGATATTCTAAAAAAGTACTTGAAGTTTTAACAATTTTAAAAATATTATTGAAACAGCTTTACATTTGTAAATTATAAATATATAAATTATTTTGTAATTTGTGCAATTGTCGTTTTTTTTCAAAATTAGAGTTTTTTAATCATGTCATTAGATGAATATCAAATGTCTAAAAAATATGTGTTTTGATTTTTATCTTATATTTATAATCTAATGTCGTTAAGAATTTCTGGGGTCAATTATAATATTTTTGTGACACTATTGAATGTATTTGATTTAATTTTTATATTAAATAAGGCTGGAATTCTCGAATGATCTTTTATATAATTGGAAATGAAAATATTGAACTTATTTTAATAAAGAAAGTTTTTGATCTCCGAATTTATCCATGAAATTTAAATTTAATATAATTAACATTAAATTTTCCATATAATTTTTATATAAAATTATAAATGACTCAAAGGTTAACAGCAAAATTGTCTACAATTCATAAGATAGGTATTCTAAACATTATGATGGCATTCTGTAAAATCAGATTTTTGAATTTTGAAAAACCGCGTTTAAAATATGATCTTAAAAAATAACACTTGCCCAGGAAAAAAACACATAAACGCTAACACAAATACAAAAACATACCAATATATTTTATTTATGATAGATAGTCAGCATTGTTAATGGTAGGTAATTTCAATTTAAAAAAAATAAATAATTTATTAATTACATTATTTTAGAAGCTAAATTTTTTTAATATAATGAGGACCCACAGGCTGTGCTGACTGAGAATAGGGGTTAACGGTTCCTCGACCCAAGTCATGCAAATGTTTTTTTTGGGCCGGAAAGGAAAAATGAGCAATAAGAAATAAATATATATTAAAGCGATTATTAATATTATATACTTTTATATTCTAAACTTATTAAGATGTAAATTTCAAAAATACGTAAAATATTTGAAATTATATTATCTTTAACAATAAATATTCGTTAATTGATTTAGAAAAAATGATTAATTTTTTGAATAAAATCAAAACCTAATTAGGCCCTTATGGACTATATCATGAAAAAAAATTTTTATCGCTAAGTTCATTTTAGTTTATCATCTTGTTACGGAATTTGATTCTTACAAACAAATCGGCTAATTCGCATAAAGAAAATCTCAAGTTAAACACTCCTCCAAAATCATCTATGGAATTTTAAAAAAAACATATATTAAAACCGAAATTTTCCCTAAATCAAAGTTCTATATAATTTTATAATAATGTTTAACAATGAATATTGATAATATAAAATTCATTACTTATTTTAAATAACAAATAACCTTATGAAACGAAAGTAAAATACGAAAATATAGCAAATCTACCAAATATTTAAATCAAACCAAAATACAGGGTTTCTTGGTTCAAAAACTTTTAAATTTATACTAAAAAAGTAAAGCAGTGTCCAAATTACTGCCGGCCCTGGACTAAGCCTACGTATTTATATTTTATTTTATTACTTGTTTATTTGTAAAACAGTCAAAGATAAAAATTCTTATTGGAAATAGTTTTAATTATCGTTACATTCATTAAGTTATAACTGTAATATTGTTGGACGGTTAGATTTAGCCAATTTTAAATTAAGGTGTTAGGCCAAAATAATATTACCCAAGCCTTGAGATGTCGTTAATAGATGTCCAAGCCTTTTTGCATTCTATGGGCAAAATCTCTAGGCTCGTATAAAATTTTTTTAACTAAAACATTGGGTTTTCGAGTAGTTTAACAACATTATAAATAACTAACGGGCTAAATTTACTTCTTTTTTTCAAATGTAACCAGTTACAATTAAATCAATAATAATTACTCAACTATTAACAATAACTTAGAAAAAATTTGGTTAAACTCTGGACTTAGGTATCAATCATTATAAAATCTAATTTTATTTTTTTCACCCTTTCGAGGCCGTCTTTACTTATTCGTTTTATTTAATCATACTTTTAATAATCTCTAAAACTGCAATGTCTAAAATTTTAAATCAAAAAAAATAGGGTACAAATTGGTGTTGTTTCCTTTTATATGTTGTTGAAAAAAAAGGGTTGTATCACTATCGATGTTACAGTCTGTTACTAATCTATATTTGACTCTAAACCTAACAACCATGTTTTTTTTGATATGTCTTAACTAGGACTCCGGTTATGTATACCTAAAAACTATTTCTTCCATAAAACTTATGTCTGGAATTAAGTGATAAGGAATTAAGTCTTGTGGCAGATATGTACTCTTTGCTTCACATGTAGCCAGGAAAAAACATGGGTCATTCCATCCCCATTCGGAAATTAAATCTTTTTAAATATCATTTTAAGGTTATAAAAATACTCCTTATACACTTTTTGCCACACTTCCCCCCCCCCATCAACCCCACACAATGAATAAAATAGGTACAATAATTTTAAAAATAATAAAAAGAAGTATAGGTTAATATTTTATTTAAATAATAGGTATTTAAAAAATTAACTAAAAGCATTTTAATATAAAAAATTGTAATATTCTTTTTAAAATATTTAACCCGGCCCAAGGCTAGTAATGAGGCTGCAGAGCCCTAAAGTAATTTATGTAATGATCTTATAATATCCCCTCTATAAAAATAATGCCTACTGTTCCTATGTTTTACCAAGTACACTTTTCAAAATTAAGTAAAATTATAGTCGCTTTCAACCTTCAAAGCAATCAACTTAAGATTCATTTTTTAAATTTGTATGATGATATTATATACAGTAAAAATAATATGAAATTTTTAATCCACTCAGCTTACTTCGTGAGATATGTCCATTTTTAGAAATGTAAAAAATTTCAAAATACACTATATTTAATTTTAAATATCTCAAAATGTAATTTAAGCAGTATGACTAAATACTGCATAGCTAAACTATAACGTAATTATTAATAATCAATCTGTTAAATAATGGAATTGATTTTTTATATTTAAATTTGTATTAATATTTTATATTACTTTATTTGAATAAAACCTTATTTATTATGTTGATGCAAACTTACGATTATTTTAGCTTGTAACCTTGCTTTTGTTTAAAATATTTTTGTAATATATTTTGATACTTTTTATTTTTTGTTATATCAAATTTGTATTTAATATGAAAGATATATATACCTTATTTTTGATAATAAATTTTTAGTTTTATTAGATTAATGTAAAAATATAATAAACTCAATAAACGCAATATCTTACTTTTCTTTTTTTAACTTTTTGCACCATATTAGCGCCCCGGCCTGGTATGGTTATTCACGCACAATGATATATAAAAAAATCTAATATATATAGTGCCTATGCCGATAAATTTAAAAATAAAAATAATAAAAAAAAAAATTTTTTTGGAATTATGTAATAAATTATAAAAATATTCGATATAAATGGACACACACAAAGAAAAAAAAATAGGATACATAATCATATGACTTAATAATATAATGTTTATCTTGATGCTAATTTAAATAAAGTTTGAAATAAAAGTTTGCAAATTTTAAATATGGACGAAAAAATTATTTTATCTATCAGGGAGGTTAAGTTCCCAAAACTGGAGGGGTGTTTGACTGACACTTACTTGGAGAGACTTGATGATTATTTATCTGAAACAATTTTATCCGAATTAGTAAAAATGGAAACATTGATGAGCAATTTATCTGATGACCCATACGACAAAACAAGTCATTATGAACCTAGGTAGATATCAAAGATTATAGAGTTGTTCTTTAAAAAATTAAAATACCTTATACCTAGTCAAGATATTAGGATTCCAACTAAAAAATTTAATCTTGCATCACAAGGAGTTAAGGAATCTGTTTTGGATTTTTAGACTTTCTAATTTAAGTTTATTATATAATCATTTTTTATAAATAATCATCAGAAACATTTTCTTTAATATACATAAATTAATTTTTCATTAAATAGAAAATTGACATTAAATTTCAAATAATTTATAATTCTATTTTATTAATATTAATGTGGAAAAAATATATTATTTATTGCAACTCAACTTTTATTTTTAAAATATATATCCATAAGGGGGTGTTAAATGCATAAATATGAAAATATATATGTATTAATAAATCTCATAAATTTGGAAATTTAATGGTTGGGAGGCTTGAAAACTTCATTCGCTTCTTTTATAACAAAGCCAAAGACCTTATCGAAAATCTTACTTCATCATTTATTTATATTTTCATTAGTCTTTTTATTTTATTTTATATAAATATAGGGTTTTAAATATTTAAAGTTTAAAGGGCATGGTCAATACTAAATTTAATGTTAATAATTACCTAGCCTTTTAATCTTCTAACATTATTATATTGCAAATTACAAAATTATTTACCTCGTTGTAATTATATTCGCATTTTGATCATATTGGATATTTTATTTTATTCCTCTTCAGCCTAAAAAATGCTTGACGGGGTCGAAATTCAAGGTTATGAAAATTGTCTAAACTCCTGGGACAAACTAGACAGTGAATTTACTTCCTTAAATAATTCCTATAAAGAATATTTGGATAAGGTGAGGGAGTTGCACGAACTTGAAGATAAATGTGCTAAATTGCTCAAACATCACAAATACAATGATTTGAAAATCGCTAAATCCTTAACTGATCTAAAGGATACTTCAAAGCAAAAAGAGATTAAGGAACTTCAAGATAAAATAAGTAGTCGCAATGTAACCTTAAGATCTATTGAGACAACACTCCCAAAGCAAAGTTCTTTATATTTGAAAATTATATTAGGAGACATAAATGTATCACTATCAACTAATGAAAAAAAGTTCAAATACAAAGAAAATTATGAAAAGTTTAAGATCACAGTTACGATGATTATTGTCATATTATCAATCATTAATTTATTACTTGTTAAATATTACAGAGTATTAGATGCAATTTTTTGTTTCCTATTAGTTTGGTATTATTGCACCTTAACTATACGAGAGAGTATTTTACGTATTAATGGCTCCAGAATCAAAGGATGGTGGATTAGTCATCATTATATATCTGCATTTCTTTGTGGTGTCATTTTGACATGGCCTGATGGTTTTATTTACCAAAGTTTTAGAAGACAATTTATGTCCTTTGCATTATTCATATCCTTTTTACAAATTCTGCAATACCAATATCAAAAAGGATGCTTGTATCGATTAAAGGCACTTGGGGAAAGGCAAAATTTGATGGATATTACAGTAGAAGGGTTTCAGTCATGGATGTGGAAAGGTTTATCATTCTTATTACCCTTTTTATTTGCTGGATACTTTTTCCAGGCATATAACTCTTATACCTTATATAATTTAAGTAAATTACCTGAATGCCATGAATGGCAAGTTCCAGTCATAAGTTTTGTGTTCCTAGTTTTGTTTTGGGGGAATTTTCTTACCACAAGTGCTGTTATTTACCAAAAATTTATGCAGAAATATAGGCCTAAAAGCAGTTTTCAGACAAGACTTTTGACAAAATATAAACATTATTAATTTAGATACACAATTATAGACAATAATCATGACTATTACAAGATTGTAGCTTTATATTAATGTGAATATACCATTATATCAAATATGTATTAAAAGTTTATTGCATTGTGCATTTATATTTTTTTGATTATACTCTAAGTTGCAATAAACAATTATTATAATTATGATTTGTGAATTTCAAATCAAATATTTTAGCATACATTTGTATGACTCAAATATTTGTATCATTCCTACAGATTGAAAAATATATTATTCATAATGTGAATGATAAATAATTCTATTTTTTTTTTAAATTTATTTTATAGAATTGACAAGACGATAATTTAACATTAAATAATTCATAATATATCTTAGATGCAATAATAATAATAAAAATAATTATTTTTAAAAGGTTTTTAAAAATATTTTCCCAGTATGGACAACAATATTAATATTTTATTAATGTTACCAGTATGAATGATGTGTCAGTATCTTAAGGTTAAATATTCAATTTTTAGTAAATGTATCTATTTTTGGGATATTTATTAAATTTAGCATTAGAGTATTTTAATTGATTTCTTAATAATTATTATTTTCCCATTATTTTAAATACAATACCATTAAAATAAGTAGGGCTATGCTGATATTAAATATTGGATTGGCACTGATATTTAGCATTTTTCAAAAATTATCTGATTATAATATTTCAAAAGATTTTCTATTTATTTTTAAAAACAATGGAAATGCACAACACCCCACTAAATCTTTATTTATTTAAGTTGAAAATCAAGAAATTAGTAAAATTAAATAGTTAAAATTGATAGTAATGTAGATGACCTGTCATACTTGAAATATATCAAGGAATATTTAAAAGAATCGATGGTATAATAACATATTTTATCTAGGATTGCTTGGTTGGGTCATGATTGACTCATTTGTTTGGGTGGTATCTGTTTATTTTTCAAGCTTGACAAAAAACCACTATTTTGGACATGACTAAAATACGCGTCCCCGAAAACTACGCGTCCCCGGTCAAAGAGGTTTAATTTATATAATATTAATATAAAATCTTATTTAGCTTCATAAAATAAGTTAAAAAATGTTTTTTATGATTTAAAAAAAAAAATAATATCTTAGTAAAATTTTTAAAAAATTATTTTTTTTTAAAAAAAAACTACGCGTCCCCAGTCAAGATACAATTTTTTTTTTAAATAAAAGTAGATTCATGTTTTTTCGGAATCTCCTTTAAAAACTATACACGATTCTATATTTATTTTTATAAAAATAATCTATCTTGACCGGGGACGCGTAGTTTTTTCATGTAAAAAATTAGTTTTTTCAAAATTTTACTAAGTTACCACTTTTTTTTAAAATCAAAAAAATACATTTTCTGTATCCATTTAATGAGCTAAATATGAATCTGCTATTATTTTTAAAAAAAACTGTATCTTGACCGGGGACGCGTAGTTTTTTTAAAAAAAAAATAAATTTTTAAAAATTTTACTAAGTTAACACATTTTTTTTAAATAATAAAAATTATTTTCTATATTCATTTAATAAGCTAAACATGAATCTGCTTTTAATTTTAAAAAAAAATTGTATCTTGACCGGGGACGCGTAGTTTAATCAAAAAAAAATTTTTCGAAAATTAATTTTTTTTAAAAAAAAATTTCTTAATACCATTTTCGGAATCTCCTTGAAAAACTATACACGATTCTATATTTATTTTTATAAAAATATCTATCTTGACCGGGGACGGGTAGGGACGCGTAGTTTAGTTAAAAAATAAAAAAAATGAGTGTTTTTTCAAAATTTTACCAAGTTGACACTTTTTTTTTAAATCAAAAAAAACATTTTCTGTATCCATTTAATGAGCTAAATATGAATCTGCTTTTATTTAAAAAAAAACTGTATCTTGATAGGGGACGCGTAGTTTTTTCATGTAAAAAATTAGTTTTTATAAAATTTTACTAAGTTACCACTTTTTTTTTAAATCAAAAAAAACATTTTCTGTATCCATTTAATGAGCTAAATATGAATCTGCTTTTATTTTAAAAAAAACTGTATCTATACCGGGGACGCGTAGGGACTCGTAGTTTTTTTTTTAAATAAATTTTTCAAAATTTTACTAAGTTAACACATTTTTTTTAAATCATAAAAACATTTTCTATATTCATTTAATGAGCTAAATATGAATCTGCTTTTATTTTTTAAAAAAAATTGTATCTTGACCGGGGACGCGTAGGGACGTGTAGTTTTTTTTTTAAAAAAAATAATTTTTTAAAAATTTTACTAAGATATCATTTTTTTTAAAAATCATAAAAAGCATTTTTTAGCTTATTTTATGAAGCTAAATAAGATTTTATATTAATATTATATAAATTAAACCTCTTTGACCGGGGACGCGTAGTTTTCGGGGACGCGTATTTTAGTCACACCCACTATTTTAAAAAATGCTAATTTTATATATGTTTATTTAGATAACTCTAATAACATTAATATTTTTTCCCCTGTGGATCCACTTGGCTATTGGGGAATTTATGCTGAAAAGTATCCAACTTTGTCAAAACTTGCAGTACATTTTTGGCTGCAACAAGTATCCCATCTGAGTCTGTCTTCAGTATGGCAGAGATTATAGATAGTCTACATCGTAGAAGCCTATTGCCAGAAAATCTAGAGGCTCTCATATTTATTTTAAAAAATCTAATATATCACAATTTTATATATTAAATTTTATTGAATACATTATTAAATATATTCATTTTAGAAATAAAAATATCTAAAATAAATTTAATGCACAATTCGATTTGCATAATATGTATTTTTTAATTATATTTACTTCAAGGTGGTGGTTAAAATTAATATAAATATGGGACACAGCCCTAAAAGTAAGTACATTCTTTTTAAAAAAGTTTATTAAAACTATTTTATATAATATTTAGGAAAATATTTTTAATAATTTTAAGAAAAATATAATTGTGTTTTTAAGAAGGAATAATTGTTAAATTTGAAAAGATTGATTTGTATGTTCTGTCTGTTGAATAGAAATTCCCTTGCTTCAGGTGTTTGCGATTTGATTTTGTGAGCTAAATTTTTTTAAAAGTTAAAAGTTTAACTAGCGATCCTTTGGTATACGTTGCGATTGGTGAGAATATAAAATTGCTGAACTTTTGTATTTTTTTATCCTCTACTGGGGAAAATGAGACACATGTTTAATCTCAAATAAGGGATTTGCCTACGGGATAGTGGTCAGACCGTCGGGTCTTAAGACGTCATCTGTTGAGAGGTCAGGGTTTTAGGATATTCGGTAAGCGAACCTTTTTTAAAAGGAGGCTTAATAATTTGTTTATTGAAGGAAGAGTGACGTTGGGGTCCTTGTTCACTTTTCATGAAATTGAAGCCATACCTTCCCTTGGCATTTACTAGGAGGTTGCAGACATGCAAAATGAGGGTGAACTAGGGGGCATACGGCTCAATATCCTAAAGTTGCTCTTAGTTATTCATTGATTAAGAGATTCCCCAGGTTTTTGCTCGGCAGGGCTTCGTCTCTGATTGAATAACTCAAGGGATGAAGAGGAAGATAAATTCGTAAAAAATTTTATATTAAGGGTGCAAAGATGTTTTTGTGGGCGACTAATGTGGATAAAGGTATATCAGGATGGACACCATCTTGCCACATTCTGACAGAGATCTCATTAGTTATCGATGGGAGATATTAAACTAAATATTAGTAAATTATTTGTTAAAAGGAAAGACAGGGTATGGAGAGATGTTTAGTCGATGCCCCACTCTCATTTTCAGGTAATTGGGCTAATTTTTAGTTGAATATGGTTAAATTTAGATTTCAATTTTTTCCAAGAAAGATTAAAAAGGTGTTTCCAAAATTCTCTTTTAAATTTCAAAATGAAAAACGAAGAGCTGAATAAATGTTGAATTTTGGTGATATATAAGAATTTGCTAATAATATAAAGCCTTTGGAGAGCTGGCAGCCTAATTAAAAAATTTTCCCTGTTAAAGATATTGTTAAAAATTTTGGATAATGATGGCTCACATGGAGGGGCGATCCTAATAGGGTAAGATTATTGATGATTTTGTAACCTGGGAAATCTGAGGAATTATTATCAAGGAAACAGATTTCCGTTTTGGACTTGTTAAGAGCAGTTCCTGTGTTTTTAGAATTTGATTAGATATACTTTAAAACTTCTAATATTTTAGGAAGGGATCAACAAATGGTTCCATCATCAAGATACCGTAGGTTTATGTCCAAGTCAAATTTGGATTTAAGGTCGTGGAAACCGGGATTAAATAGGAGCGGACCAAGTGTGTCGTGTTGAATACCTTCGTTGGAGTCTATAATGTATGGACTGAATAGAAGGGGAGTTTTAATGCTATAACATGTTTGGAAGAATTTTGAATAATGTAGGAATTTTTCATAAAAAATATTAAGAAATCATAAGATATGCTGTTGAAGGTTTTATATATATTTGAATGGCATGAGAGGTTACTTCGCAGCCTCCCTTGACTCCGAAGCCTAATTGATAGGTGCTAAGTAAGTTAATACCTTAGGTTTGACTCGCGTCATTATTTTTACGCGTAATAACCTGAGTACGGAATCGATTGCGATTCGGCTCATACCCTCATTGTGTTTATTTAGGGGTATAAAATTGACCCAATAAAGGAATGGATTTATTTTGGGAATTTTTTATTTGATTATTTAAAAACAATCAAATAATATTCTTCAAGATGTGCAGAATTTATGATGAGAAGAGCAAATACCATCAAGCCCTGCTGCATAGAATTTGTTGAAGGAATTTATGGACTGAATAATTTCGTCATTAGATATGGTAATTGTGATGTCGTTGGTAAATTTAATAAGGATGTACACGATGCAGCAATGTGAATATTAAGAAGCAGTAATAAAGTGCTAGCATTTGGTGGAGCTAATTTATTTTAAATGGATGTTAATTTTAGAGCCCCATTTAGAGTCCTATATCCTATATTTATTTTTAATATTTTATTGCATCGATCAGATAAGTTGTTATCATCATTATCATTATGA